GGGGGAAAAAAAGTCAGGCATGTTTGTGCCTATCTTTATTTCCAGTACTTGGGACACAGAGGCAGGAAGATCTCTTTGATTTCAAGGCCACCCTGATCTACATAGTGAATTCCATGACAGCCAGAGCTCCAAAGTAAGACCATGTCCCTCCCAAAAAAGAACACTTTCCCCCAATAAAAACAAATTCACAAAAGTAGGAAGAATAAAAGAACACTTGGTTTCAAGGCTTACTAAATCACGTCTGCCAATGGAAAGCAGCAGACTACAGCTGTGCCTGGACAATTATCTTCTGCAGTCCAAGCATGTCTCCTGTTACCCTGAAGCAAGTCAATGTGATCTGCACACCACGATAGCCAATGGGTTCTAATACCTGAAGCTTATACCCACCATAGAAAGCATTCATTAACAAACCTGCCAACACATAAGGACTTCATTTATTCTAAATATGCTTCTAAGCTATTATCATAAGGCAATTAAATTTTAGAAAGAATTTTAAAAAGCTAAAAAGCAAAACTAAAAGGTATTAAAAGTCTACCTATACCACCCTTCAGAAAAATAAGTCTTATAAATACCTTTTCAAGAAGAACAGCAGTACATCAACAACTGATCTGGAGGGGTTCATCCCTCTAAGTCTGCCTTCTACCTAACAGACACATTTTAAAGCATAAGATGAAAGGGTCAAGGCACTCGCTATGCTACAAGTCCACTGCCTGAAGCATGCTACTTTCCCATTCCTACTTCCTATGGTCACAGAATGAACTGAGCGTCCTCACCACCCATCTTCATGTGCTTGTGTACTCAACATATATGAAGCCTAGTAAAATTTGTATCTAATTTCTTGTATCAATGACAAGAAATACATGAAGAAAATATATTTAAAGCTCAGAAACGTTATGTTGAGCATGTGTCACAGGCAAAACATTCCAAAGTTGTTTGGAAAGGTGAAAACAAGGCTTCTGCTATCCTTGGTCAATGTCAGCTGCCATGTACTCATCTCTAATACACAGTAGTTCTCACAAAGACCTGAAGAGGGAATTCTGAGTCCACCAGCTGCATACAATGATTAAATACAGCAAATTCTATTTGGTGTCGTAAGTTTGGGTTTTTAGTAGCAACTTCTAAATAAATAGCACTGGTAGTTCTGTATGTTAGGTATTAAATAAATACAAAAGCTTTTTTTTTCTTTGTTGAGACAGGGCCTCGCTATGTCGCCCTGGTTGGCATGGAACTCACTATGTAGACCAGGCTGGCCTCAAAATCACAGCACCCCACCTGACTCTGGTACTAAACACCTGCACCATCACATCTGGCCTAGACAGTTGTGTTTTATTACTGAAGTCAAAAACCACTCTGTGTACGTGCGTGTGTGTATAGACGTGTGTGTGTGTGTGTGTGTTGTCTCCTCTGCTGCACTGCACACTCCAGGCTAGCTGGATGATCGCATCTCACTCTACAAAGTGTGCTGGGATTACAGATGTGAGTCACTGCACCTGACTTTTTACGTGGGTTATGGACTGGAACTTGGTTTTTCCAGCTTGAATAGCTAGTGCCTTTACCTACTACACCCACTTCCTTGCCCCAAAGCTGCTATTATCAACATTACATTCAAAATATTTAAACTTTTTTTTAAAAAATATTTTATTTATTATTTTTATTTTATGTGTGTAAGTGTATTGCCTGAATGTATGTGAGTGCAACTGTGTCGTACAATGACACGGAGGTCAGAAGAGGGCTTCAGATTCCCTTGGAACTGGAGTTAAGGATGGTTCATAGCAAGAGCAGTCAGTGCTCTTAACCGCTGAGCCATCTCTCCAGCCCAATATTTAAACTTTTTATATAGTAGGGCATGGTGGCACACACCTTTAATCCCATAGAGGCGGAGGCAGGCAGATCTCTGTGAGTTCAAGGCCAGCCTGGTCTCCATAGTGAATCCAGGCCAGATGTGGCTACAGGGAAACCCTGTCTCAAAAATACCCAAAAAAAAGAAAAAAAAAAATTGAGAAATTTAATACTCTAACAAAAGCATCACACGGACAAGCTACCTTGACATTTCAAGTATATACACGTTTTTCTTCACATGAAAAAAATACCGCATAAAAATTTTGAAACTGCTAAGTGTAGTGGCTCATACCCCTAACCCCCACACTCAGGAAGCTAAGACAAGACTGGCCTGGGTTCTATAATAAGTTCTAGGCCATCCTAGACTACAATGTATGACCCTGTCCCAAGTAGTAATATATAGATATAA